AAGCCGCCAGACATGCCAGCGGACGGGAGTATGCCAGAGAGGTGGTACAAGAGAAAATCGAGAATTGTGATATGCGGAAATTTGGCATCGCACCAACCTGGGGAAGTCTATACAAACACAGCTCCAGCAGAGGTGGTGCGAGCAGCAATCGCCATAGCCCGCATGTTCAACTGGGATTTGGGCATCATAGACGTCGTGGCCGCCTTTTTACAGACGCCCCTGGAAGGGTTGAAAGGCGCACCCCTCGTGTATGGCATCCCTCCTAAACTTTTGGTGAAGGCTGGACTATGCAAGCCTGGGGAATTGTGGAAGCTAACTCATGCAGTATATGGGCTGCAGGAGTCACCAAAGCTATGGGGTATGTACAGAGATATTCGACTGGCGCAAATACAGCTGGTTTTTGAGGGCAAGAAGGTAGTGCTCATGCAGGGAAGGGTAGAACCTTCGTGGTGGTCAATTCTACAGGAAGGCTCTCAGTTGATTGGGATATTGGTAGTGTACGTTGACGATATCTTACTGTGTGGAAGGCCTGAGCTGATCAAGGAGATTGCGGTTGCCATCAGAGAGGTATGGAAGACGAGCGATCTGCAGCTGGTGTCTGAAGGGGCAATAAGATTCCTGGGCATCGAGATTTCTATGTGCACACAGGGCTTCGCTTTGACGCAAAAGTCGTACATAGAAGAGCTGGTCAGACTACATCAGGTTCCACCAACGCGTCGTGACCTTATTCCGATCTCGAAGGACTTGGCAAACTTCAGTGTGGAGGAGCACGAGGGGGTATACACGGAGCAGGAGCTGCGCAAGGCTCAGCAGTGCGCAGGGGAATTGCTGTGGATTTCTCAGGGCACCCGTCCAGATCTGAGTTACGTAGCATCCTTGGTGGGATCTCTTTCTACTCGGGCGCCGAGAAGGGCCACACAGATAGCAGAGAAGGCTATTGCGTTTCTGCAGAGGACGATGAGCTATGCTCTGGTATACTCAGGCGACAGCTCTGGCCTGGTGGGATACTGTGATGCCAGCTTCGCTCCAGATGGGAGCCGCAGCCATTCAGCATGGTTGGTGCTCTTGAACGATTGCGTCATCTCATGGAGATCAGGAAGACAGAGCACAATAACATTGAGTACAGCGGAATCCGAGCTTACGGCTATGTCAGAAGTGGTCTTGGCCTTACAAAGCGTGGATTCAATGCTTCGAGATGTTCTACCCGGAGGTCAGAAGTTACAGCTATATTCGGACTCAACGTCGGCGCTGGCTATAGCAAATGGTAGTGGAAGCTGGAGAACAAGACATCTACGCCTTCGGAGTGCCTGGGTTTCAGAACTGATAGCAAGCCAAGCAATAACAGTGCATCATTGCATCGGAGAAGTGCAGCCCGCGGACTTACTCACCAAAGCGCTGGCTTCTCAAAGAATGAAGTCGCTATCCAAGTTGATCAATCTTTACAGCCCTGAAGACAATGAGGATGGTGGCGATATCAGCGGCAGCAGCAGCATCAACATCAACAGCATCAACGCCGGCAGCAGCGTAGCCTGTGCCCCTAAAGAAGTCCCTAAGGGTTTAATAGCACTCCTAGTTCTGTCGCAAGCCGTGACTGGAAGCGCCTACAGCTGGGAGGAAGAGGAGGCAGTGGTTGTGAAGACAGCACTGGCTGTTGACTATGGGATGCTAACATGGGCGTTCCTTTGGGCGACAGTTGTTGTGTTCTTGATCACTTGGGAGCTGTTGAAATGGTTGATGTGGCTGGCTTATGACAAGGTTGTTCCTGGAGCG